CTTCTTTTTAATCTGCTGTGGCTTGGATCCCCGGATGCCAAGTACATTTTAGAAGATATCGTCTATTCTGAACCACAGTTTTTAGAACATCAAAAAGCTTTTAGGATATTTCACCACTGTTTGGCTCATTTCTTGGCCTCACTTGTCAACAGATTTAAATAATTATAGATATGAGGAGTTTCTGTGGAAAAAAAAGTCTCTTCTCTCCCCTGAACCTATTTCTGCCTCATTTCTTTGTTTTGCAGCAGAAAAGTCTCCTTTTGCTCCCTCTCTTTTAAAATTCATAATCAAAGACACAAGCCTCTTGGCTAGTGGGTGCAAATTTGGCCACATTCTGCTGTATCAGTGATACCCCCTGCAGAACTGGGTACCTCCTTTCCCATACAGATTTCCTCCATCACATAAACCCTGGTGTACACTCAACATACCTTCACACATGCATAGACACATGGGCATGCACACAAACACATGCAACATGCATGCACTTACATGCAAGTGCAGGCATGCTCGTGTGCACTCATGCTCATTACTGAGCATCCATGAAAGATTTTCCCATAGTTCATGCATCTGCATCAGTAGCAGTTCCCATGGGTAGCCATCTTGCAGTTACTTTAACATTCAACCAATCTTTATGGAAAGCATATTGCAGACTGAGTATCGGTCTAGGCTCCAGGGAAACCACAGTGACGAGTTCCTGCCTTTGTGGAGCTTATATTCTAGAATAGCACCACCCAGTAGAAGGTGCCTCAATAAGGGCAATGTCCCACACTGCTTAATACAATAGCCACTAGCCAGGTGTGGTTACTGAGCGCTTGACATATGGCTGGTACAAATGAAAACTTGAGTTTAAATTTTATTTAATTTTAATTAATATAAATTTAAAGAGCCACATGTGGCCAGTAGCTGCTATATTAGGAGAAAATGGATAGACACTCTCTCCTGCCTCTTCCTCTTTACTTATTTATATAAGTAAATTTTGAATATTAAAAAGTACCATCTTAAAATCTCCTTCTGCATAACTCTCATCAAAAAGAACACAGATTACAAATGTTGGCAAGGGTGTGAAGAAAAGGGAACCCTCATACACTGTTGGTGAGAATGTTAATTGATACAGCCACTGTTGAAAATAGTATGGATGTTTGTCAAAAACTAAAAATAGAACTACCATTTGACCCAGCAATTCCACTCCTGAGTATATTTCTTTAAAAAAGCAAAACACTAATTTGAAAAGATAAATGCACCCCAATGTTCATAGCACCATTATTTCCAATAGCCAAGATATAGAAGCAACAGATGAATGGATAAAGAAGATGTGCTATACACACACACACACACACACACACAATGGAATATTACTCACCCATAAAAATAATGAAATTTTGCCATTTGCAGCACCATGGATGGACTTGGAGGGTATTACGCTAAAGTGAAATAAGTCAGAGAGAGAAAGAAAAACACTGTATAATATCAATTATATGTGGAATCTAAAATATACAACAAATCAGTGAAAATACCAAAGAAGAAGTAGACTCACAGAGAACAAATTAGTAGTTACCAGTGGGAGAGGGAAGGGAGAGAGGCAAGATAGGAAGGAGTAAGAGATTAGGGAGTACAAACTATTAAGCATAAAATAAGCTACAGGATATATTGTACAATGTAGGATATAGCTATAATAACTATAAATGGAGCATAACCTTTAATAATTGTGAATCACTGTGTTGTACACCTGTAATTTATATAATATACAGCAACTATACTTCAATTAAAAAGAACTTTGCAGATTAAAAAACATTTAAGCCCTTTTCAGTATCAAAATGAATTTCAAACCAAAATAAAGCCCATCAAGAAGCTGAAAAAAATTCCTCTGCTGCTCCAGAGAGGAAAGAAGCAGGAGGCCCGTGGGAGGTTTCCAGACGGGAGATGGACATGGCTTACTCAAGGCAGAGAGAGGTGGAAGTGGTCTGATACTGATTTATTTTGAAGACAGTCAACAGGATTGCTGGTGGATTAATTTGGGGGTGGGGTGAAGAGCGTTTTGGCCCAAGTGTGCCATGATAGAGCCGTTGGTGGAGATGAAGAACTTGAGAAAGAGGAAACCCATGTTTGAAGGGGAAAATCAAGAACCTGACGTTCAGGGACGTCCCTGGTGGTCCAGTGGCTAAGACTCAGCACTCCCAATGCAGGAGGGCCTGGGTTCGATCCCTGGTCAGGGAACTAGATCCCACATGCCTCAACTAAAGGTCAGCTTGCCGCAACTAAGTCTTGGCACAGGCAAATAATTAATTTTAAAATAAGAGTCTGATGTTCAGCTGAACATGTCAGTTTGGGTGTCATCAGCAAAAGACACTTCCTCCCTGCCCTGCTGTACCCATGACCTGTCCTCCCCAGTGCCTTGAGGGACCCATACCTACTGCTGAGGAAATTGTCCAGCAGGAAAATGCCTGAGAGCGGCCAGGGTTCTGGGTTCACTGGGGGGGCGGGGTCCCCCTTCCCGGGTCCTGCTCAGGTTTGTCACCTGACCCCCTAAGCAGATAAGTGGGCCCCCACACCCTAGAGGGTTACTCTTGAAAGTAAGTCTGTTAATTCTACCTTGAGACCTCTCTTCAGTGGGACTTGAACCCACGCCAGCGAGAGAGACAGAAGGGGATATGCCATCTGCATCCCTTCTCCCTGGATATCGGCTATCCCTGCTTCAGAACACGTCTCCCCACTCTGGTAGACGCATGATGAAAGGCTGCCCTCTACAGAAGTCCATGCATTCAGACATTCAGCATGGTCCAGTCCATCACTTCCCCTGTTGGGGTTCTATTAACATATCCTACCTCCTTATAAGCAAATTGTTCTTGTTTAGTCAGTAAGTCATGTCCGACTCTTTTCCACCCCATGGAGCCACCGCCAGGCTCCTCTGTCCATGGAATTCTCCAGGCAAGAATACTGTAGTGGGTTGCCATTTTTTCTCCCAGGGGATCTTCCTGACCCAGGGACCAAATCCTCATCTCCTACATGGGCAGGTGGATTCTTTACCACTAAGCCACCTGGGAAGCCCCAGATTGTTCCTGCACTCCTAAATTAATATTTGTTTAATGAAATTCCAATCAACATTCTAACAGAATTTTATTTTACAGATGATTCTGATTTATGAGAACTGATTTACGTTAACAGGTGATCAGAAAAAAAACAGAATTGTTTGACAAAAGAATAATAAAGAGGAACTCTACCTGATACTAAAACATGCTCTAATCTATGGGAAAAAAAATTTAAGTGAAGCATAAGTGGAAGCCTTAATAGCTAGATAAGAGATATAGAGCAGATATAATCAAGAAATATCCTATAAAAATTTAATGTATGACCAGGGTGGTTTCACAAATTAGAAAAAAATAACACTATACATGCTACTAAGATAATTGATAACTTTCTAGAAAAATGCTTAGAATTGTATCTCACAGCTTACCCGAAGATCAATTCAAGTCCATCCAGATGAGTTAAATATAAAAAATAAAGCCAAAACACTCTAAGAAAACATAGAATAATAGGTCTCAGCTATCAAAGCAGGGAACCACTTTCTAAAATCACTGTGAAAAAGATGGATAAATTTGCCAGCTAAAAATTAAAAATTCTCTACCTATAAAACATGAAAAATAACCATAAGCAAAACTAAATGACAGACTGGGAAAATTTGCAACAAACACAGAAAAGTACTAATATTTTTAATATGGAGGTAACACTTGTAAATTAATAATAAAACCACTGGGCCTCACAATACAAAAATGGCATAAATCCACAATTCACAAAATACAAATGGCAAGTGAATCTTTGAAAACTGTTCATCCTGATTAGCAATCAAGAGAAGCACCAAAGCATATTAAAACAGTTTTCCCATATCTAATTGGCAGGGCTTTTCATGGTAATATTTCATGTAATCTCAGTGGTGAGTCAGGCACTCATTCACTGCCGGGGAAAGGCCAAGAGGAGCAAAAACTTGGCCATAGGAGTCAAGAGAATTTAAAATGTCAACATCCTTGGACCCACTGCTTTTATTTCTAAGCATTCATCCAAAGCTTGTTATCAGAAGTATGGACTAAGCATGTTGACTGCAATTTTGTCAAGAAGAGTCAGAAATTAGGAATAGAAGTCCAAAGGCAAATGCATCGTGTGTGGTGTATCCCTAAAATGTAATTTCATGCTTTAATCATTCTTTTGCTCAATGTTTGTGAAAATGGGAAATGTTCAAGGGAAATGAAGGAACTGTGATATCTGGGATGATGTTTTTCTTTGTTATACTTTGATGCATTTTCTATAGTGATATTCCTTTTATGATAACAAACAAAAACATTCATATCCATTTTCTAATGCCTGTATACATGCCACTTTCCAGCCCCAGATAAGCATCTTGTTTCTGATATCCCATCCATAAAAGTGACTTGTGAACCCAGCCAGCACTTCACCGGCAGGGTTCCCTCCGCCACCCCCACCACTTCATAGGATCACAGCACCCTTGTTGCTTTTCTGTATCCCTTGGTCTCTAAACATGAATGAATGCCCTGCATCCTCATTTGTTTGTTTTGGGCTTGTTCCCACTGTCCTTCCCAGAGAACGGAAGAGAAGAAGAAAGTGATCCTTCATTTTTATGTTCACCTGCTCTCACGCCATCTGTGCTTACCTGGGTGTTTGCTTTGGGTGCCAGTTGGGATGGGTCACAGGAGCAACTTGGAAAGTATCGCTAGTTTCTTTTGTCTTTTTGAGGAAACTGACACTGTCTTTGTTTTTGTCCCATAGGTAAGATGCTGCCTCTTGCGTTCTGCCGTTGGAACAGTTAAGTTTTCTGTGCTGAAAGCATTTCGGGAAACTCAAGCACTAGACTTCAGCATTCAAGGGAAGCCAAAGCCATTGGAGGGGGCAATAAAGCCAAAAACCTTTTATCTGAGTAGTTCCAAAAATTTCACTGCCCCTTCCCAGCCGCCCCCATCCCCCAAATAAGCCATTGCACACAGCCAGGCAACATGGCAAGCAAACGAAAATCCACCACCCCGTGCATGGTTCGGACATCACAAGTGGTAGAACAAGATGTGCCCGAGGAAGCAGACAGGGCCAAAGAGAAAGGAATTGGCATGCCACAGCCTGAATCAGCCAAGGACACTTGGGCAGCGGAACCTGAAAACTCTTCCAAAGACAATGAAGTGATAGAGGTGAAATCTACAGGGGAAAACCAATCCAAAAAGCTCCAAGGTGGTTACGAATGCAAATACTGCCCCTACTCCACGCAGAACCTGAACGAGTTCACGGAGCACGTTGACATGCAACACCCCAACGTGATCCTCAACCCCCTCTACGTGTGTGCCGAATGTAACTTCACAACCAAAAAGTACGACTCCTTGTCTGACCACAACTCCAAGTTCCATCCCGGGGAGACCAACTTCAAGCTGAAGCTCATCAAGCGCAATAATCAGACCGTCTTGGAGCAGTCCATCGACACCACCAACCACATCGTGTCCATCACCACCAGCGGCCCCGGAAGCGGGGATGGTGACCCCGGGATCTCAGTGAGTAAAACCCCCATCATGAAGCCAGGGAAACCGAAAGCCGATGCCAAGAAGGTGCCCAAGAAGCCGGAGGAGGCCACCCCCGAGAACCACGTGGAAGGGACCGCCCGCCTGGTGACAGATGCCGCTGAGATCCTCTCGAGACTCGGGGGCGTAGAGCTCCTTCAGGACTCGCTAGGACATGTCATGCCTTCTGTCCAGCTCCCACCAAATATCAACCTTGTCCCCAAGGTCCCCGTCCCGCTGAACACTACCAAATATAATTCTGCCCTGGATACCAACGCCACCATGATCAACTCTTTCAACAAGTTCCCCTACCCGACCCAGGCAGAGCTGTCCTGGCTGACGGCAGCTTCCAAACACCCAGAGGAGCACATCAGAATCTGGTTTGCCACCCAGCGCTTAAAGCACGGCATCAGCTGGTCCCCGGAGGAGGTGGAGGAGGCCCGGAAGAAGATGTTCAACGGCACCATCCAGTCTGTCCCCCCGACGATCACCGTGCTGCCTGCTCAGCTGGCCCCCACGAAGATGTCACAGCCCATCCTCCAGACGGCTCTCCCATGCCAGATCCTTGGCCAGACCAGCCTGGTGCTGACTCAGGTGACCAGCGGGCCAGCGACTGTCTCCTGCTCCCCCATCACGCTTGCTGTGGCTGGAGTGACCAACCACGGCCAGAAGAGACCTCTAGTGACTCCCCAGGCTGCCCCAGAGCCCAAGCGCCCCCACGTCGCTCAAGTGCCAGAGCCCCCACCCAAGGCGGCCAACCCCTCGCTGACCCCAGCCAGCGATCGCAAGAAGACCAAGGAGCAGATAGCGCACCTGAAGGCGAGCTTCCTGCAGAGCCAGTTCCCCGACGACGCTGAGGTCTACCGGCTCATCGAGGTGACCGGCCTCGCCAGGAGCGAGATCAAGAAGTGGTTCAGTGACCACCGGTACCGGTGTCAACGGGGCATCGTCCACATCACCAGCGAATCCCTAGCCAAAGACCAGCTGGCCCTCGCCGCCTCCCGCCACGGCCGCACATACCACGCGTACCCAGATTTCGCCCCACAGAAGTTCAAAGAGAAAACCCAAGGTCAGATGAAGATCTTGGAAGACAGCTTTCTGAAAAGCTCTTTCCCGACCCAAGCAGAACTGGACAGGCTGCGGGTGGAGACGAAGCTGAGCCGGAGAGAGATCGACTCCTGGTTCTCGGAGAGGCGCAAGCTTCGGGACAGCATGGAGCAGGCCGTCCTGGATTCCATGGGGTCCGGCAAGAAAGGGCCAGATGCGGCGGCCCCCAATGGTGCCCTGTCCCGACTTGACCAGCTCTCCGGTGCCCAGCTGGCCAGCTCTCTGCCCAGCCCCTCACCAGCGATTACAAAAAGTCAAGAGCAGGTTCATCTCCTGAGGAGCACGTTTGCCCGAACCCAGTGGCCGACCCCGCAGGAGTATGACCAGCTGGCGGCCAAGACCGGCCTGGTGCGAACTGAAATCGTGCGCTGGTTCAAGGAGAACAGATGCTTGCTCAAAACTGGAACCTTGAAATGGCTAGAGCAGTACCAGCCGCAGCACGTGGCAGACGATCACGGCTACGACGCCCCATCGAGGAAAGTGGTCAAGACCGTCATCACCGAGAACCCGAAGAACGGGAGTGAGGGGGGTCATCAGTACTACAAGGACCCTAAAAAGCTCTGTGACGAGGACCTGGAGAAGCCAGGACCCAGAGGGAAGGCAGGTGGCGAGCAGACGAAAGACAGTTTGCCGGCAAAGCCCTCGGAGGCCACGTCGGACCGGTCGGAGGGCAACAGCCGGGACGGCCAGGCCAGTGATGAGAATGAGGAGTCAGGCGTCGTGGATTGGGTGGAGGTGACGGTCGGAGAGGAGGACGCCGCCTCTGACAGGTCGGACAGCTGGAGTCAGACGGCGGCAGAAGGCACGGGGGAGCTGGCCGACACGGACTCGGACAGCGGCCCAGCGGAAGCCGGCCAGGCCTAGACAGGTAATGCCACCTGTTCCCGGGGAGCCAGGGAGGGAGGCTGGGCTTCGTTCTGTCTATTGCCTGTGTCGGTACAGTTATCGGGTACAGGGCTGTTGACGCAGATGATGTGTTCGCCTTTTAAGCTTTTTTAAAACAAAGGAAGAAAAACAGGGGCTGGCAGATTTACATCCTTATTTGCAAGGCGGTGGCCAGGTGGCGCTAGTGGTGAAGAACCTGCCTGCTAATGCAGGAGACATAAGAGATGTGGGTTTGATCTCTAGGTCAGGAAGATCCCCTGGAGGAGGGCATGGCAACCCACTCCAGTATTCTTGCCTGGAGAATCCCCGTGGACAGAGGGGCCTGGCAGGCTGCAGTCCATGGGGTCCTGCAGAGTCAGACACAACTGAAGTGACTTAGCACACACAGAACGCTGGTTGGCGGAAACATCACTGCCTGTGGCCTTTGGGCGTCTGTCCATTCTAAAGTCTGGTAACAAGGTAACACAACACAAGGCCTGTTTTGTGTTCGCTGCTATAAGAAACAAACATGAAAGGATATGTCTTTTCCTCTTTTGGATTTTTTTTTTAACAGTTAAGTGTCCAAGTTTACTGAATAAAAACGTGGGATTGTTTTCTCTAACCTGGAAGGTTTTGAAAGCCACTGGTGTTTGTGTTGTGGTAGCTAAAGGCAGGGGCCCCCGAGTATGTCTGATTAAGTAACCCTGCTTGTTGCTGCGCTGATGGGGTCCCCAGAACCCCTTCAAATCTGGACAAGACTGGTATAAATTAGGTCTGGGAGCCACAGAAGCCTGGGAAGGGAGGTTACCATGGTTACTAATGGCCATGTCATCCACGTAATGGGACGTGCCACTGAGCCCTTGGTGTGTGCGCTTCACCAGAGGTCTGTGCAAATCAGAGCCTGCGGTAAGTTTAGAAAAGGGGCGAGGGGGTGGTGGAGAGGAATAGTAGCGGGGAGGATAAAGAGGGAAAGTTCTACCTTGGCCAAAGTCAGGGTATGCCAAGGGCAGCTTAGGACCAGCATGGAGATGCACGATTTACAGTCTGCCTGGGCTGATGTCTCCAGAGGTCACTTAAAAGACAACAGACACCCCCCACTCCCACCCATGTCATCTTTAAACATAATGAAAGGTAGAACCTCCAGAATGATGGATAAGGTCCCCAAGAGAGCCCTGGAGATTACCGTACCTCTTTATTTATGAACTCAGACAACTTTGGCCAGCCATGTCACTCATTATTTCATTTATCCAGTCAGAAAACATTTCATTTATCCAGTCAGAAAACGAGGCACCTGGCAAGTAAAGTCCTCTGGAAACCTTATTTTAGCCAGTCCCATCAGCTATTGGAAGAGCAATTTAATGAGCAGCCAAGCACAGAATGCCATCATGTCTTTCTCCTCCAACTTTTCCAGAGGAAGTGGTAATATGTTGGGGGTGAGGAACGGGGGCTGGTGATAGGAAGGGGTTAAATGGCATCATCCATGGTGCCACCTCCACATTCTCCCTCTGGCCATTTTCTTGCTTCTTATAAGACCCTGCGGGGACTTCCCTGGTGGTCCAGTGATTTAAGACTCCATGCTCCCAGTGCAGGGGGCCCAGGTTCAATCCCTGATCAGGGAACTAGATCCCACATGCCACAACTAAGAGCCTGCATGGTGCAACTGAGACCCATCACAGCCAAATTAAAACATAATAATAAAGTAATAAATTTAAATTAAAAAAAAAAGATCCCACCAGTCCAGATCATATCTCCCATATTGAAATGAAGGAGCAATTTTTTTTTGTCCAGTCAGACTCTGTGTGAATACTCGTAGTTTGCCCGGCCTTCTGCCCTAGATTTCTTCTGGTGCATAAACATGTCTACATGATGCCTTTTTCCTCCTACCACACAGTAGACAACTGGGTTCCATTCAACTTAACAGATACATTCTGTGCACCTACTGTGTGAGGAAAACTGTGCTAGGCACTAGAGAGAACAGGGTGGAGAAGACAGAGCTCTCATTCCCCTGGAGCTTAGTCAACCAACAACAGAGGAAATTACTCTTTCCTTTACTCACCAGGGTGTTCCGTTGTGTGATGGAGACGTGCACAGCTGTGGGGGAGCATAAGAAGGGGCACCCAGGTTGGGGGTCAGGGAAGGCTTCCTGGAGGAAGGGACAGCTGACTCAGCTGATTAGGAAGGAATTAGCCAAGTGCACAGACAAGGAGAAGGGCTTCCCAGGTGGCACAGTTGGTAAAGAATCTGCCTGCCAACGCCAGAGACGAAAGACACACAGGTTTGATCCCTCAGTCAGGAAGATCCCCTGCAGGAGGAAATGGCAACCCACTCCAGTATTCTTGCCAGGGAAATCCCATGGACAGAGGAGGCTGGTGGACTACAGTCCACGGGGCCGCAAAGAGTCGGACACGACTGAGCGACAGAGCCGCAGAAGGAATTAGCCATCTCCCTGAAAAAACAGGAACACACAGGAACCTCTTTTTATTTATGGCAAACGCCACAAGAGTGTGCTCGAAAATATCCCTGAACAAGATGCTAGGATCTACTCAACACCTGAAGACTCCTGATATCCCTAATGGGCCTCCTGATATTTTTCAGATGCCATCGTTTTAAGGAAGGGGCCTCAATCTGTGCTGCTGGTGGTGCCTGAAAGTTCTCCTCACAAGACACCCCTTCGAGGAAGCTTTCAACCTCAAGGGGGAAAAAAAACTCCAAAATTACTTCACAGCTTTTATGAACCAAACACAGAGGTCTCTTGAAATTCATAAATACTCAGTGATGTCTTTATTTAAACACATATTTATCTAGGAACCTGCAGTTGAGTGCAGTTGCCACACATATAATCCTAGAAATAATGCATGGTTTTGATTTCATTAAAAAAAAATAAAAACTTGGGTAAGCAGCTAAGAGCTGATTCTAGGACGGGATTTCCTCTGTGGGAGTGAGTGTCCCCCCCCGCCCCGCCCCCCGCCCCCACTACCACCTCGCCCCCAGTCAGTTCCTCAGGCTGAAGCTTGGCAAGGCTCAGAACAGTGTCTGACTGTCCAGGCTCACCTGGCCCTGAGATTAGATGCAAAGATAAGGGATCCTTCCCAAGCCGTGAACGGGATCACCTTGATTCAGTCTCTGGGTCCATCCATTATCAAGCCATTCATTGAGAGACCTGTCCCCATAAGAAGCCAAAAAAGAAACTCCTTTCCTAAAAATGAGTCAAAATACTTGAGCCAAAGATTGTCAGACGTATGCCTTGATGTTTGGCCAGATGGAGTAGCCCAGCTCTACTTCCATGAAGAATTTCTGTATTTGTATAGGCCATGTGCTCAGCATTCTTGCCAGCACATCTATCTAGTAAGTTATTTAAACTTCTTGACAACCCTCTGACACAGGTACGGCTCTTTCCTCATTTGTTGCCATGCTAAATCGCTTCAGTCATGTCCCTCTCTTTGTGACCCTATGGACTGTAGCCCACCAGGCTCTTCTGTCCATGGGATTCTCCAGGCAAGAATACTGGAGTGGGTTGCCATTTCCTTCTCCAGGGGATCTTCCCAAGCCAGGGATCAAACCCTGGTCTCCCACATTGCAGGCAGATTCTTTACTGTCTGAGCCACCATGGAAACCCATTTTATGGGAGGCCAAACTAGGGCTCAGGAATGCTTGCCCTGGTTTCCTCAGCTACTGACTGATGGAGCCTGTAAAGCCCCTCCTCACCTGTCAGTTCAGTGCCTGACCCAACCACCATGGCCCACCACCTTGCCAACAGTGCACCACCATCACCACCCAGGCTAGACCAACAGGCTGTGGTCAGGTCTTCATTCTATACGGAACTGAACTCTAGTATGCAACTATTCATTCACTGCTTTGCTGCCTCCTGATTTCTGCCAATTTCCATCTCCTGAGAATTAGGGATGGCTTTGGGGAAGAGGTAAATTCTCTGAAAATGTCAGGAAAAAAATTATTTTCCATAGTTCAACTTGCTTAAAATATTCAAGGCTGCCAATTCTTGGAGCCTAGCTACAATTTAGGATCCAGGATATGTATACCCCCATAATCTGTTCAGATTAGCCATCTAAATACAGATGTGTGAATGGATGGATGGAGAAGTGAAAATGTTGTAGTTAACTATTTCCTTGTCTCTCCTCTACCAGATCCTTGAAGGCAGGCACCATTCCCAATTAATCCCTGAATCCCCCAGCACCTGGTTCAGAACAGATGCTCTACAGTGGTTTATTGAACCAACCTGAGAATTACTAGAGAGAGTTAGCTTTCAGTTACCCAGGGTGTGGTATTTCAGTCCTCTGCTTCTCCTCATTCTTTTTCCCATCACTCACTAGTCCCATCAGATGACAGCCGTCAGGGGAGAGGAACTGGGGACAGTTTGCTTTCCGTGTGTGAGCAGCTTGAGGGAAAGGTCTATTGGAGAATCAATCACTAGCTATTTACTGGGTGATGCTTCTCAGGGACTGTACATTAGCCTCACTACCCTGGTACCTCATGGAGAGTTAACTGCTATCACTTCCTTTTATCTAATTCCAGAGCTTCTCACACTAGGAATTTCCCCTGCACTTTAGGCAGCTTGTAGCAACTTAAGAACATAATGAAATCAAAGCCCCTCATTTTTCAGAGGAAGGATGCTGGCCCCAAGGAGGAGAAATAACTAGCCCAGAGACACTCACAATAAGTGCCTTGGCCCATTCATCCATCAGTATTTGTGGAAAGCCTGCAGTGCCAAGCTCCAGAAGGCTGCGGCACTCAGCGTGTCCCTGCTCTCATGGAGCCCACATGCTGTGTGCTAAGTCATTTCAGCTGGGTCCAGCTCTTTGCAACCCCATGGGCTGTAGCCTGCCGGACTCCTCTGTCCATGGCATTCTCCAGGCAAGAATACTGGAGTGGGTTGCCGTGCCTTCCTCCAGAGAATCCTCCTGACCCAGGTATCGAACCCACGTCTCTTACAACTTCTGCATTGGCAGACAGATTCTTTACCACTAGTGACACCTGGGAAGCCC